AGTAGTATGAAGTTGGAGGTAGTGCTTGGGCCAGTGTGCATCTCTCATTTTCAAGTACTAAGAACCTAGACAGCTTGTACCCCTACGCAAAGAGATGAAACACAGCATACCGCATACGTTTGCACTGTTTCAAGTTTTAGTTCACCAAGGTGAAACTCGCATGTCTATCAAACAAGTTGTGTAAATGAGGGCAATCTTCAGCCATGTGTAGCCTTTGAGCTTGTGAGGGCACACTTCCCACGTCACCAGTCACAGTCAGCATGGTTATACAGTGTCTTTTATGAAAGGGAAAACATGAGCACGTGGCCTGCGCTCAGCGGCGACTGGCTACAGTACCATCAACATACAGCTGAAAAAAGCGTGCCCGCTTCTGTTTTTATCAGCGCCTATCCAACGGCCATAATTCGTTCTTTTGTTTGCCAATAGATGCCTTCAAAAGACGATGTGCTTTGTTTAGCAGTTGTTTCGGTTGTTCCAATTCAGTTAGTAAATAATGGTAAGAGAGTACCACCACAAAAACTGGACATGTCATTTCTTTTGTTGCAATGAGTGGCTAATGACCCAGTTATCTTGACTGCAAACCTTTTTTAACGGAGCACACAACAGTTAAATTGTTTAAAGATATTTTCATAATGCTCTGCTCGGGTGTGTGAATGTTGCCTCACAAGATACCACAGTGCTGCAGACTTGTGAGACAGCATTTTTTTTTTTTTTCGAGAAAAGCAGTGCACGGGCTTGTTTAAATGTACATGTAATGTGTGTCTGTTGCAATAAATTGTCCTCTTTGTCACGCTTCCTATCTTCCATCCTCCTAGGATTATACGCATTGAGATGTGATACACTTAACAATACAACTACACTGACTTTCATTTCTCTTTGGTCCAGGTGAATGAGCTGGCCAGATACTCTATATCATTCTTATTAGTTTTTTTCTTTGAGTGTTGAAAGGACACTAAAGAGCGAAATAAGTTTTCGCATACTATAGAAGTATGATTTCACATCACCACTCTTACCACGACATGACGCTTGGCAAGTGTGAAATTGTGCAAAGAAAATGTCTCACCAAACACCATGACATCATTAATTTTGATGGCATTTACTGGGTTCGACATAGCTTATAATCAATAAAAATGAAGGACATTGTCATCTGTGGGTGTCACAGACCTAGCATATGAAGTTTCAGAAAATATCACCGAGCCAATCACAAAATTGTGAATGATACATTTAAAAACTTTTGACGTCACGCATGGACATTTCGGCACAACTTTCAATAGTGAAACTTCAACCTTTATTTTCTCCACTAGCATTGAACTTGGGATAGTGAAACAAGTGGCATTGACATTAGAGTACTCAGAGTGCAGTTTGTCTATCTAAACAAGGTGACTGTTTCTCTTCAGTATCCTTGTAATTCTTTTGTAAATACACACAAGAAGCTTGTAAAACACACACAAGAAGCTTGATAAATCTGCCCTGCACAATTCAGATAGGTCGGCAGTTGCAGCCTTGAAAAAGTCTGCATGTTGAGACGATGGCCCTAGCAACAACCCGTGTTCACAAAAGTTTCATCTCTTTAAGCCTGTCTACACACAAGAAACTTGTGAATCAAGTGTAAAGATGCACAGCAAACTGGTGTTGGGAGTACAGAGTTTGTACAATGTGATTTCACCCATGTCACATTGCTGCAGTGAAGGGAACCAAACTGCTTGAGACTACAGCAGCAGAGGCCTATAAATTCCTCCAGAGTTTCCTTCCACAGATTCTACCACATCGGTTCAATAGTGGCAAAACATGACATTTAGTCCACTTGTTCTTTACAACTCTATCATAAACAGAGACTAACACATGCGTTTTTCTTGGTTTAAATGTTGTTCTTTAATCTTTCAGTGGATAAGTTGTCTTGAGGTAACACTGATATTATTGAAGATAGAATCATTTTGAAGAATAGATTCAACATCTCTGCTGCTTGCCTCCTTTCTGACATGCATTCATGACAATTGCATTAATTGGCAATTGTAAGAAGTTTCACCCTAGTAGCAAATTTACCATGCACCACCCTTTCAGCCAAATTAACTTCCTAGATATGACGGTATATATTGAAACATTCTTTAATGTGAGGTATGAAAAAAATACAAATCCTTTCCCCACACCATAAACATATAGCAGGCAATGCCAATCTGAAAAGAAAAATGAACAGGGCAGAGCCAAGAGAAATTTTGAGGAGGAAGGATGTGCAGGAGAAGCAGACTTCACCCCCAGTCAAAATGAACAAAAAGAAGAAAAAAAAAAAGGATCTTGGTTTGGTTTACAATGTTGTTCTTGCTGCTAACATATTTGGCCCAATTTAATTTTCAGTGGTGAATGCTTGTGATGTGCATCTTAATGGGGCTATCTTGGAGTTCTTTCTTTTACAGAGAAATCAAAGGTTACGCTCTACATAATGCCAACGAATAGCCAACTATAATACATAGACTGCACAAGCCATCATCTATGACACGGCAAAGAAGAAATATTCATCAGACAGGCAAAACGTTTAAGAAGCGTCTGTAGCGACAACGATCACTATGCTCACCAATTAAGCACGCCAAAGGAGACATTTGGCGAAATTACCTGCACAACACTCTGAACGAAATCCAAAATGAAGCTTGAAAATGAGGAAATCATCACTAGCTGAACATGTCCCATAGCCCAGCCTAACCAGCCGCTAGCCTTTGCAATCAAATACTGAAACACACTTCCAAACTTAAATAATATCCTTCACAAGTAATACCCAACATTAACAAGCAACGAGCCGCTTCCGAAAACGTTCCCCGAGATGGTTGTGCATGCAAAAGTAAATCCCGCATTTTTTTGTACACATATTACCTAGTTGTCATCTAAGATTTAAGACCTGCAAACACCTTCAAGATTATGTTAGAATTAAAAGCACTAAAGTGGTTTATGCATAGTATAAAATCTAGTTTTACCTGCACTAGTTTAAACATTATGCGCATGATTAAATATACATATTGTCACAAACAGGACAACATTTTAACATGATGCAGTAGCACAACTTTGACAGGGACACAGAGTTCAAGAAAACACGACACTCGCTTTTCTTGTCCTCTGTGTCCCCGTCAAAGTTGCGCTACTACGCCACATGTTAAAATGATATTTCACCAACCAGTCCAGCTCTGAATTCTACTGAACAAACAGGACAACCTGTTAATGTTTCATTAAATAGTCATCGAGCAAGCATGGCAAATGACTGGAAGCAATGGTGCAGAACTTATAGTGGCAGGACATATCTTCAACAATTTTAAACCTTGAATACTGTAACCAGCTTTTTGAAAAAGAAAAATTGCCGCACCTTATTCACAAGTTTAATACATTCAAGCCAACCTTATTCACAAGTTTAATACATTCAAGCCAACAAGTATATATGATTCAAAGGGGCACTTGAACCAATTTGACATGGCACATACACAACGAGAACCTATAAAAAATAAGCCATCCTTCAAAGAATATTCAAGGCTAATTATCCCAATTGTCAGGCGGTGCTTCCTCGAGGCAAAGATAATTCAGCAAAATGTCTTCTCCTTTTCTACTCATCCATGCAAAACACTTGCTCCTTCCTGCCCCTCATTTCTTTCTGTTTCATGGGCTTTTGATTGATTGCCCCTTTTACCCTGGCGCAACCCATTACGGGGGATTGGCTTTTAACTCACACAGTTCAGCATGCCGACTTCTTGTTTTCATATCCCCGTTTTCGCATGTGGCCTTCCCTGCTTTGTTTAAGTTGGAGGAGAGGGTACGAAGAATATACAAAATGCACTAAGGTAGGCAAGGGATGAATTTTGGCCTTGTTGGTACAACATATGTGAAATGTTTTGTCGTCATTTGCTGATTGTTAGCACTAATGTATCCCACATTCCCTTCATCTTGATAAATCTGCCCTACACAATTCAGATAGGTCGACAGTTGCAGCCTTGAAAAAGTCTGCATGTTGAGACGATGGCACTAGCGACAACCCGTGTTCACAAATGTTTCATCTCTTTAAGCCCGTCTTCCTCACAACTTCTGTGTTTTTGGTTTCATAACATGACACTTGCGATTATTAAAAAATAATAAAATTAATACTGCCTTGTATAATTTGTGTTAATAATAGCTCATTTTTGTCTGTATTTTGGTAGATTTTCAATGCGCCCAGTGTCTTGGTTTCTCAAGAGCAATCATTTGACTGAGTTAGTCACACAACAATTGCTCTTCTTCGTTTATTTTCTGCAATCTTGCGTCTACAGATAGGTATGTACTATACTAAGACTCAAAATAAGAAAGAAACAAAAAGAATGATGTTCTTACACTGTAGCACCAAAATTAGTATATTTAGTAATTGCGTCTTTTTATTTTATTACCAGCATGTCAAGTGCTGGACGCATGAGTGCTGGCTAACCAATGAAGAGTTCATTCCTGGGCGAAGGTAAATAACACCCGCCTTCCCACCGACGCTAATCTGCAATTTTTTTTCAGTAATTCATCAATCCAAATAGCATAACGATTCGAAAAGTGGGCCAATAGTGGCGTATCACCCTAATTTGTTATGCAGCACTGAGCAGCTGACTCGTCCGTCACTCAGTGTCAGCGCAGCCGATTTTACCTGGTTGAAACGCTCCCGCTGTAGATCGGGCACAGCAGAAGAGCGACACGTGATCTTAAAACCAGCGACGTGTTTAAATTACACACACAATAAACGTACATCATGATTACACGTATCGCAACAAGAGAAATACGCAACACGTACGGCGGAAGTACGGTAAACAATGAAAGTCTTACTTTTATCGTTAAGATCTGTATTAGCCTTTACAATAATCTCACCAGGCTGTTGTACAAACCGAGCGACTTGCGCAGCGACAACGTTTTCGAATTGTGGTACATTAACACAGAGCGGTATTGCTACCACTGCCACGAAATTAATGGTGCAAAAGCGCGTTCACCCGGAGATTAGTTAGAGGTTGACAGCTTACCCGTCCTTGACATGAGGTGCACTATGAACCTGTGAACATTTGTGTTCATCACTGTCGTCACTGAAGAGTAAATTTACCGCGAGGAAGAGTGCTTGCCGCAAATAAACACGTAGCTTGAACTTCGCGCTGGTTCAACGACAAAACCAGAAGCTGCCATGACACTTTTTCTCACAGGAAACAGACGTAGTGCCAACCACGACCTACTGTACTCCTGATCTGCCCAGCTGGCGGCGGTTTACGGAGCTGCCTGCGCCGGCTCGGATTCCGAACTTCACCGCCTAGGGACGCTCGAGTTACCCCAGCTGGTAACTCGAGCTAGAAAGGCAGCTGAGAAATTTTGGAACCATCTAAACTCCCCAATAAATGAGACGAGCCTAGAGCAGAGGTTTATAACTACAGCCCAAGGTGCTAGGCTAGAAGGGGACGAAGCTATTCAAGACCGTACCCAGGATTTTTTTTTTTTTTTTGGGGGGGGGGGGGGGGGTTGCGTGTAGAACGGCTGCCATTTTTTAATATTTATACTGGCTTATTTTCGTGAATAAAACAAGTACATCGCTTACTTGTAATAATTCGATGGTACTTTTCAATTATTTCTACCCAAATAAAGAAATTGGTATGTCAACCTCAAATTCTGGTTAAAGCAAGAAATGGACAATAGCACCACCAAAGCCGGGGACACCGCGACCAACGGCTACTGATGAAGTAACGCAATGTAACCGCGGTACAAAAACGGTATGTATGTGTTACAAGCTGTCACTCTAGCGTCGCCAGCGCGAAGTCGGCGACGGGAGTAACAGCATGTTAGGTCGTTCCGTACGTAAGCAGAGACAGTGAAGAGATCAGAGACGTATGTGGGGAAAAACAAAACTCTAGTGATATTGCAGCACTACAGAGGAATCTAGTACAACACTTAATACCAACTAACAAAATACATATAAAATCAATAAATCAGCTTACAAGAGAGAAGTATTAGAAACTACACAAAACTAACCAACAATAAAACTACAGATGAGAAAGTCCGAAGGTATAAACAGGTGAAGGGATACCTGTGATGACTGGCAGCGTTGAGTCCACGACGATCGGATGCGAGAAGTCAGAGAGAGTTCTGGCACAACTGCGATGTCGGCGGTGTTGCAGCGCTGGTGTTTCCGGGAGGCTAGTGCTTGAACCTGATCTCGGGCACGTTGAGCTTACTCGAGATTCAAGTACCGATGCCTACGTTACAGACGTTAATTTCGCGTCACAACTAGACGAATGGCTAAGTTCAGGTGGCCAGCCGACACGGAGCCACAACCACTTAAGGGATACTTCTTGATCTTTTTCTACACCATGTTGGTCAGCAACTAGACTGCTTAGCAATGCGAAATCCTGCTCTTAAATCAACCTCCGTGTCCCCTGATTCTCGTCCGGGGGAAAAGAGACCTCTACATGGGTCCAATCATGCACGTTTCTTTGTTAGAAACTCCACCCTAAAAATATATTGACTACGTCCCTTTTTAGTTAGGAGAGGGTCCTCAACTGAGCGAGAGTGACAACCTGTTGGGGTTCTCTGATACGGCTTGTCCACAAGCAGTTTTGCCCGTGGGAATGGTCAGTTTACTTGGTTTCAGCCGGTGCGTCTTGCAGTCTACAGCTAGTTCGGGGTGCATCGCGGCCTTTGACGACCCTGCCGACGCCGCCGTAGGTACAAAGGATCAAACATTGGCGACTAACGTTTGAAGAAGAACACCCCATTCAGTACTTCCCTGCACTAAAGGCCAGTCTTTTCATGAGCGAACGGTTCCGTCGGTCAGCGGGGGAGTGCGGCGCCCGTTAATTTGCCGTTACATCGGGTTGCAAAAATGGCAGTCCGTGACAGCATGTATGCAAGCAAACAAACAAGTCACCCGACATTCCGATCTTCTTGTTACCGTTCGCACATTCTGCTTGCTGGATAGTTTCCTCGTAATTGCGAAAGGATAGAAGGGTTGAAGCTTGGGCTAGCTGGGTTTAGCTTTTAATCGACTTTTGAAACATAGAGGGAAGTTTAAACGAGGAAGTTTTTCCTTCTCGGCAACTTGCAAAATTCTGTGAGGACTTGTTCTGGGGTCACTTGAAGTTCTCGATGGATGATGAGCAGTGATAGTCCGGTCAATCTGTCGTTGTTCATATGATTTTGAAGGTAGCTCTTCAGCCTTCTCAGTGTGGAAAAAGTCTGTTCCGGGGTCGACGTCAACACGGGTAAAGTCGCCAGGATAGAAAGTAGGCTGTGGATGTTCGGAAAAAAGACGCGGTTGCAAATCTCTAAGGCCTGTAAAGCACAAGCTGGGCGATTCTTTTCTTCGATCTGGCAGCATTTGTTCACACACAGTGTGAACTATGCTTCGATGACATTAGCCAAAGGAATGTCGCCTAGGTAAAACTGCACTGCATCAGCAATATCAGAAAGGCTAGCCGATGCGCAGAATTTCAGCAGCAGCATGTTAAGGTCAACCACGACCTTCTTTCTTATGGGCATCGAACCGGTCTCTTAATTGATTTTTTAAGTCAGCCAGCAAAGGCAAATACACATTCATCCGGTAGTACTCTTCGGGAGTAGCAGAAGGTACGTTGCTTCTTTGCATCTGCCTTCCAGTGATGCGTGGTAGGGCCATCTCCACATTTGTGATCTTCAGCAAAGAGAGCGACTTCAGAAAAATCTTATTAAATTCCGTTTCCGCATTAGCCCTTTTTGTGGAAAGAACGTCTATAACATTCTTTACGTGATCGCACGCTTGAGCCAAGTCACAGTCAATTTTTTGAAAAAAACTTACAAAGTGGCAGTGTCAAAGAGAAGAGGTCGCTATAGATCTGAAGCGAAACGATAAACTCGGGCTTCGTAATGGCATTGAGCAGTTTAGAAGCTTTTGATGAAGTATCAGATGACGCGGCCTCTTCTTCCAAATATTCGAGGAATTGTACAATAGGCACGTACAGTTCAAGGAAACGCTGAAGTGCATCGTCACTCTCTACCCACCTCGTTTGCAAAAGGAGAGAACTGATTTTCTTTTTTCTTGTGTTAAATCTTCTACTTTGTCTCGCAGTTGGTTCGTCCTCTGTGGCGAAGTTCTCACAAACGTACAGGTTGAAGATTCAGTTCCCAAACAGTTGCGGATGCTGGGGAGTTTGCATGCGTGAAGCAGAGCAAGGTTCAACGAGTGGGCGCTACAATGCACGTACAACTCTTTGGGCGCTGTTTGACGAATGAAGGCTTGAACACCATTAAGGTGGCCGCTCATTGATGCCGCGCCGTCGTATCCTTGCCCGCAAAGTAGGTTCAGGTCAAAGCCATGACCTCTGAGGCTGTTCAGGATTGTGCTCGCCAGCGCCTTGCCAGTGAGATCGTACACGGGAACGAAATCTACAAAATCTTCTTTAAGAATGGGCACTCCCGACGTGTCGTGTCCAACGTACCTTACACATACGGAAATGTGGGCGGTGCGAGAAATATCAGTGGCCTCGTCAGCTAGAACTGAAAAACACGAACCTGAGTGGACGTTTTCCACTATCTTTCTTTGTATGATTTTACCACAGAGGGTGATCAACTCATATTGAATTTTTGGGCTCGTGTACAGCGCATTCGCCGGAGATGTTTCCATGTGAGCTCTCAAGGTGGCATCTCCACATTTTGCTCTCATCCTAAGCAGTGCGCGGAAATTTCCATCATTTTTGAATGGCAGCACTTCAGACATATTTATCGGACCAGATTCATCTGTGCCGCGAAGCGGTACTTCTTGCCTGCCACAGAAAAGGATTGTTTCTATTATTGGCAGCAAGTTCTTGCGGTTTTCTTCCGCCTGCTTTTTAAGGCCGTGGTCAAGTTGTCTTAAGATGTCATGCTGTGAGCGGGACCGGACTGCTAAAAAGTTCTCCGATAGCATTGTTGACATGGCGTGATAACTGCTGGATGCGTGGCTCTTAAAGGCGTCCATGGCCTTCTTGTAATCGGTGAACTCCTTAGTTACAAAACAGCCCAAGCGCTGGTGCTCCCCTTTTCCTGCACACTCGCTTGCGAAGACTACGCAATATTTGCATAATGCTCCTTGAAGCTTCTCTGAATAAACAAGCCATGGGTAACGATCTACCCAGTGAGGTTGGAACTTCAGATTCCTTTTCCCTGTGGCTAGATAATCATAGTTAGCCGGAGGGGTCCACGGATTGAGCAGCAGCTTCTCCATCATCTCTGGATCATTTACATTATTGCTTTTCGACACAAACAGTCCCAAGTCGAAAATATTCGCACTCGTCGCACAGAGGGGAGGCGAACCAGAATTTGTAGGTGCCATGCCACTCACCTTCCTTGGGCATTGCCCAGTGGTAAAGGCGTCACTTTGCCCAGCGTTGACTGTAGAACAAAGATAACTTGGAGTTGCACTGCGGCCACCATCATTTCCCGGCGGCGCATGGGTGTCCTGCTTGTGTTCGTTCTCAGGTGATTCATATAAACCGGTGCATTCTCCTGAGTCGCTACAGAAGTTCGGACGCGCTTGGCTTTCCACCAGTGCTGAGGAGGGCGAAGTTTTATCCTTCGAAGGAGGCGGTTCTTCTCCGTCCGCTTGATCGGTTCGAACTTTCTTGAAGTGAGACGCAAGACTTCTTTGCTTCGTTGTTGCAGAGTGTCTTTTCATTTTTCTGCCGCAATCCTGTGCACGCACACAGAAGTGGCCAGTGGCTCCAAAAAGACGTTTGCGACTGCTTCGACTGCCTGGCGTGAACGGTGGGCGATGTTTTCTTCCTCTCTTATCCACTTTACAGTGACTAGAATGTAGAAGTGTGATGAACGCGCCGGCTCCCGCGTGGCGCATGTGTTTTCTGAACGCCGCTTCAGCTGGTGTGCATGCAGGCCCATTATTGTACTCCAGCTGCAGCCAACTGGATTAACGCTACTTAAAGACCTTTTCACAGAAGACTCCATGGGCACTGCATACTCCCCTTAATATACGTGAACCCCCAAGAATGCACTACCCAGACATTTGCACTCCCGTGGTACGGTCCAGAAAGGAGGTGTTGCTCCGTTCCTGTGAAAAAGTCACCTTTTCACAGACGGCTCCCTGGGCGCCTGCATAATTCTCTCTGGGATGCGCTAATTAAATAGCCGTGACCCCCCAAAAATGCACTTTGTAGGCTGTGACGTCAGCCTCTGTATTCCCGTGCGCCGCCCAGCTTGGCCGCGTTTTTTTTTTTC